AAAGGTATTAATATCAACAAATGACCAGGGAACACAGGGAGCTGACCTTTACATTGTGGGAAAGAATAGAAGTAAAAACATTAAAGTATAGAAGAGTATAAAGAGTAGAAATTGGGGGAAAAAACAAATATATGGGAGGATACTGGGGAAAGGTTGTATTGTGTTGACTCTTCCAGTCATTACCTATTTCATTTTAGAAAAAAAAGGATTTTTTTGTTTTGTTGAGAGAACTTCTTCAGCACACTCTGGCTTTGAATGTACTATAAACTGAGGTTCGACTTGAACTCCTGATCCTCATGCGTCTGACTCCCAAGTTCTAGAAATACAGACATGAACTACCACATCCTGATCCAAAATAGCATTCTTTAAAAAAAAATCATACTCAAATTATATACTTTTTCTTAAATATTAAATATGTGAAGCCTGGACATTGAGAGATGGCTCAGCAGTTAAGAGTTCTGGCTGCTCTTACAGAGGACCTGGGTTCAATTCCTAGAGGAATTCAACACCTTCTTCTGACCTCCACAGGCATTTTATAACAAGGATGCACTTACATACATGCAGGCACTATACTCATACACATAAAGATAAAAGGAAAGTATAACTAAAGATAAAAGGGACCAATATAATTTCATAAGAGGCCATATGTATAGCTAAAGGCTACATAGCAAGCAAAAATGCCAGACAGGCAATACCTCCTTCTGAGTTGTTGGCCAGGGTGGCCAAAGGGATTCCCAGATAGTAACCCAGCAAAGAACTGGGAAATTGAACAGCAGACCCCAATCTTATCCAAAGGAATATTGACAACTGATTACCACTAGATGAGTAACAGCTGACCCTCTTAAAACAAAGACCTCTAGATAGGCTGACTAGATTCACCAGAAGGGCAAGTAGGGTCAACACAGAGGAATTATTTCCTCCATGCTTCCAAGTGAAACCAACCATGGTTAAGCAGGATCTTTGACTTATCTTCACATAGGTGGAACTGATAAAAGAAAGGAGCCAGGGCTCCTCCCAAGCCCATGTGATCCCTGAGAAACAGATCCTCAAATGACCTTAAGAGTAAAATTAAATTGGTTTATTTCCACCAACTCTATGGTCTTAAACCTCTAAACGGAAAATTGTATTGGCCCTAATGATTAAAGGGGCCAATATAATTTTTTAAGATTCCATACGTGTAGCTAAAGGCTCCATAAAAAGTGACAATGCCAGATAGGAGATACCTTCTTTTGAGATTTTGGCCAGCGTGGTCAAAGGGACTCCCAGATAGTAACCCAGCATAGAATTGAGAAAATTAACAGCAGACCTTAATCTTATCTAAAGGAATATTGATACGTGATTGCTGCTAGATGAGGAACAGCGGACCCTCCCAAAACAAAGTCTAGCTATGCTGACTAGATTTACCAGAAGGGCATGTAGTGGGGAATGGCTGGGGGTGCCATCTACACAGCAGTCAGTAGCAGGGATATCAAAGAATAAGGGCTCTAGTGGGGGGAGGGAGGCTATGGGAGGGTGCTACCTGGGAACTGGGTCTATAAAAAAAATTCTTCAAAGCATAAAAATTTGCTCCTTAATAACTAGTAGATGTGAAAAACATTACCATTGACATCTACCTGATGACTTTATATCCATGCTCAGATTCTAAGGAGCTCAGAAAGTAACCAACTGTGACTAGTTAATAATCAGATATATAGAGATTAGAAACGCATATGCATCTTAGTGTCA